TGAGAAGGCAGCAAATCAGCTAATTTCCAATAATGAGCAAAAAGAAAAAAGTGAAACAAAGGTGATTTAGAAAGCACTTAAAGGCTTTTTTTAAAAAACTTTTTAAAAATCAAGTACTCATCTTGAGTTTAAGAAATTTTATTGGTTGGCTTCATCAAATGTTTCATTATACTTTAACATATAGTAATAAAGATAATAGCTGTGGGCCACATACTGTTCTAGTTGTTTTATGTATGTTAACTCATTTAATTCTCAAAACAACCTTATAAGATAGGTTTTGTTGTTATCCCCATTTTAGGGATAAGAAAACTGAAACACAGGTCAGGTAACTTGCCCAGTATAAATTGAAGCCCCACATGCAGAAGAGATGAGCACTACATGGTTTTGCTGAAGTTAGAACATATTTCTAGTATAGTCAGCTTAAGATATTTTTATATATGAACCTGTAGAATAAAGTTTATTTGGAGAATAAGCCAAAAGGAGAATGTTTTTCAGAAGTGCTGGTTTGCCCTTGAGAAAAGGTCAACATGTATGAGCACGATTAATATACTTCTGTATTATTTAAACAGTTAAATTTTTTGTAGTTTAGAGTTCATTCTTGTGTGTGTGTGTTCTTTTTCTTCTTCTATTTTTTATCGAGACACAGTCTTACTCTGTCGCCCTGGATAGAGTGCAGTGGCGTCATTGTAGCTCACTGCAACCTCAAAGTCCTCGGCTCAAGGGATCTTCCTGTCTCAGTCTCCCGAGTATCTGGGACTACAGGCCCATGTCATACCCCCCAGCTGATTTTTCTATTTTTAGTAGAGATGATGTCTCACTCTTGCTCAGGCTGGCCTCAAACTCCTGAGCTCAAGTAATCCTTCCACCTCAGCCTCCCAGAGTGCTAGGATTGCAGGCATGAGCCACCGCACCTGGCCTTGTGTGTTTTTAATTTTGCATGGAATGTTTATGCAGAATAGCTCAAATTTTACATTTTTTTGCTTATATAATTTATCTCCTTTTCTGTGCTTTAACTTAATTATTCTGGTTTTCCCTTTCACCTTTAAATGAGTAAGTTGCTTTATTTCAGAGTAGTATAACCAACTGCCATTTTCATAATTTTAAGTAACAGATGAAAAATTTTATTGAGCTCTTTAATTACCAAAGGAACAAGTAAGATGTTACAGCCGGTTCAAAGGAGAATTAAAAGAACACATGTATGTGTAGTGTAGGTTATTAGGAATGCTAAAATTAATTTACGAATAGATGTAAGACTGGTCAATAACCATAAGGCAATAATCACATTTGAGGGGAAAACTTCATCTGCATTTTCACTGAGAATAATTTGTATTGCTATCAGTTGCAATAGAGTTATAAAATTAAAAGACTGTGGAAGGCACAGATAACCCAAAGGGAATGCTAGACAGTGATCTTTTTTGCTCATGTCTGTGTCTTCACAATTTTTCTTGACAACCTATGTCCACCTCATGGATGTGGTTTATGTTTGGCTTGCTTATTTGCATTTGTGCAGCAAGACGGTTCATTAACAGTATAGGCCTCCTTCAGTTTGCTCTGCAAATCTAGAGCAATACAGTAGTGAACAGTTAGTGAAGTCACAAAATTAACTTTTGTCTGGAAGTGTTCACAGGGAATCTCAGATTGAACTTTTAAAAGCCTCTGTTACTTGATATCTGAAGGATAGGAAACTCAGAAACTCAGAAACTGGTAAACTTTACCTGAAGTACTAGGAATTTAAGTGAATTTTACTCAGAGGTGCCCCAAATTTCCTGTGGCTCCTGGCTTATCAGGAAGTATGTGGCCTTCCTTACAACCTCTAAGGCTGGGCCAGCTTATCTGGGAGGGCTTTGTAGGCATTGGTTCCATAAGGAAAACCAACTTTTGTTCATTAAAACTATCTGGTCCTATCTACCATGCCATTCTCAAATATGAAGTCCAGGTAAGACCTTAGTTGCATGATCAACTTGTCCAGTTATACCCTGGTAAAAGAGGGAGGACAGATTCTTATTGAACTGATGCAGATAGTCTATGAAAAATAAGGAGACTTAGTAGACAGTTTCTGAATTTGGGTTGAGTGGAGTGTCAGCAGGCAGTGAGATCAAATACTATTTAAAAATGTTTCATTTTAGTTTACAAAAACAGAGTCTACTAAATTGCTAGGTTATAGCTAGCTTAAGAAAAAGGCTTCCTGATGTAGCCAGAAAATAGAACATTAAAATAATGTTAACAGTATTTCAAACAAATGACCACAATAAGATTTCCTTCATTAGCTCATTGAGTTCATATGTAATTCTTGTTTCATTAAATGGTAGAAATCTACTTTGATGATTCTGTCTGCTTCTATAAGGAC